TTTCTGGTGCAAACGGCCGGGAAAAACCCAGTGCCAGGTATCTATGATTGAAATTCACTTTCTTTATCATTCTATTTTTTTTGCAATCTTGATGTTCACTATATTTACAACATTTGACTGCTTATATAGGCTCCAACCCGGCGTAACAGCCTTAATTCGAGAGTAGACTAGGAGCAATTACAGCTCCCTTAAACCAATAAAACAGCTTCATAAAAAGAAGCGAACACTGTCCCTATACGTATTAAAAAAGGGGGCTTTCTATGTGCTCAGAATTGTGATAGAAGACCTGGAGAGCTTTGAGGCATTTAGTCAAAATATTATCATATTCAGAAGACTGTTGAAGAAAGCAGATCCATTTGCCTTGCTAACCTCAAACGGTTCAAGCTTCACCTTAGTACCATTTTAAAGAGCGGAGAGAAGAAGCTCGCGAGAAGTCGGATGCTTTGCAAAAGGTTGTACGCTCACATTAGAACGAGGGAAGACACGTAAAGAGTTCTTAGACCGAAGTTGATGAGCTTGAAAAAGAATTAAAATACTCCATTTCTGAAAGAATCGTTCCACGGTTGATCCGCGATATCGAATACAAATAGTGGAAACATGGCTTCGTCAATAAAGACCCACAAGCCTAGCGCGACAAACACTATGCACGCTATCCTGTTCAACGCCTCTTAGCATCTCAAAAGAGTAACAGTTCGGGTTCTATTTTTCTTACGGAAACGTGTAGAGAGGGACTCGCACCGGCAAAAGCAAGTCCGAACCCTCCCGGTCTTGATTCACGCTAAATTCGGGTGACTTTTGAAAGCGATAAAACGCCCTCGCAATCCAGAAAGCTGCCGGAAGATCTAGCATGGATCAAACCAGGAAAACTGCCAGGAAAACTGATCACTCTTAAGAGTTCCCAACAGGCGCTTCCAATACACCATTACCCCCCACACGAGGATAAAGACCGCGCTACGCAGGCAGACAACTCGTTGGCTGTGAGAACACATCTAATGTTAAAACAAAAAATCACGAAAAGATGACTCATTGCGCGAACAGCTTATGCAGCCAAAATGGAACAATGGCAAGGATAATTCCTTTCACTTGAAGTCGCATACCACTGAGAAACTGTCATGAAGCTTTGGCAATACTAGACATCGAACCTATAACGTCCAAAAGAAAAGGTGTTCCGACTTGGAGAGTAACGTCACCAAGCTTATCTATGTAAAAGTTCAGCACGAATAGCAAACAAGGCAACAATATCTTGCGTCAAAGCATGGACACTGATTCAGCAGGGAGTATAGGTTTGCTTTTCGTTTAAAATTATATGATGGAGAAGTATGCGTCATTCACCGTCACTGTGAATGAGGCCGACTCCTCCCGCCGAAAGTGAAAGAATATCCTTTAGTCTGCTATGCTGTTATTCTACTAGCAATTGTATCAGAATAGTATATTCTGAAAAATTGATCCCTACACAAAGTGCGCTAGATTGTACAAGGTCTTATACTTTTTTTTCACTTGACAACTCGTTCATCGTCATACCTGAGCTACTTGCCATGCGAAGCTGCAGTACCTAGGTCAACCATGCCAGGTCGGACCAGGAAGTCAAACGAAGGACCGTGACGTGTGACCGTTATCACCATATATTGAATCTTGCTATATAACTTCACTTTCTATCTTCTACCATTTTATTCGGGTGCTCACTCAGCTTAGGTTGCTAACTACTGTAAACTGCTTTCTTAACTATTTTCTACACTCTGAGATCTCATTTTCCCCTTTTTGGCCGCGGAGTGTTCTGGATTGCACCAGAACCTGCCGGCGCACCCTTTTACTACTATGCGATTGATACGTGTAAACCCATAGGCCAATATTGCAGCATGTGATTATGACCCATAGGTAAGAAGTAGTACTCCGATGCCTGACCTCTCCCTGTATTGAGAGCGCACAGCCGAGAATATCGTGAGCCATTCTTACCCTAACCACCACCGAGCACACCCGGTTCGGGATGGACTACCATTATTTCGACTGAGGCCACTCCGCGCTCATAAACCTATACTACTACACTATCGAACACCTCTGCCACAGTAACTATTTCGCAATAGTTCAAAATATCACATAGTCGGCCTATCTCAGAAAAGGGTCAGGACGAGTCCCCCAATCCGCTTCAAAAAAATGGTGCTAACGTATTTGGAGGGGGACCACGCGGCTCGCGGCGAGTCATGACTCATCGGCTCTTCACTCATCGGCATACTTGAAGCGCGATTCATCAGCCAAATTGAAATAAAACAAACAAGATTCACTGGAAACTTGCTGAGAAATCCCACAGAAGCTGAAAACAAGTGTTCGATTTTTTGTAGTCAACAATAACAGTAAACAGCTAGCAGGAAACTTTTGCAGTAGAATCTTCCAGCCTACATCTTTTTCTTCGGCGACTTTTCAGCCTTGACTATTTTAACAATTAAATATAGCTAGGACGGTGTTATATTCTTGTCCCAAATATAAAATTATTTCTATTTTGCCGAGGAGGAAGCAGAAGAGCCGATGAGTCATCACTCGCCGCGAGGTCCCCTCCCAAATACGTTAGGTGGTTGATTGGTGGAACCTTTATTCAAGTGGCCAACGTTTCGACTGAATCGTCGTCTTTGGAGCCCAGGGTTCCATCTTTTTGGGCGGAAAATCCGCTTCCATGCTTTAACGTTAATAAGTAGCAAGAAAGTCTTTACTTCGGCAACATTCTCACAGTCGTCGCCTTCTATCCTCGAATACGGCAGTCCCTCCCAGCGTTCCTTCTCCCCCTCCCCTCCTCACCTCCGACGAGAATACCGACAGTAATGTGCCCTGATCCTAGCCTTGTTAATCTATTTTCAATGACGATAACATCTGACAGTGAGTTCGATGATGGGCAATGACGTGAGCGAATGCGAGTGGAGGCGGACAGGAAGAGCCCCAACAGATCGATTCTCGGTGTCTGCGCTCTGCCCTCCAGCCCGTCCACTCTGCGTCTCTGACCAAATATTTTGCTCTACCTGGGTTTGCTGCTTCAGTTGACGTCATCTTCCTTTCCAATTTAAGATATCTAATCCTCCTCAAATAAGTGATGCATTCTGCTTACTATCGATCCCAGCTATCCCACTTTATTATTGGCTTCCGATCGATATGGAACCCCCAAATAGGGCGACATGCTGTTCACTGGATGGTTCGCTGAAAAGCGCTTATCAACGGCTCATTAAAACGGGCGAAGAGAATACCATCTATGTTTCGCGTTTTTCCTTCTTGTTCTAAATACGATGTGGTATTCTATTGTCATTACCCGCCGGTTATTCCTTTTTAGTAATATTCTCGTCAGTTATAGTAATAAATTTAGAGGACATCGCCATTCCGAGAAGCTGGAGCTTCTGTGGATCAATTGCATGTTTTGAGGTCCCGCAACCACATGTGTCAGATAGCTTCATAGTGGACAAGGTAACTTTTTCATCTTCCCAGTTAGTGCCGCGTGTATGACGCACATTTCAAATAGAATTGAACTTGAGACGGATTACTGGTACTTCATATTCCGAAGATGGAAAAGGCGTGGCTCCATTTGAACTTGATAGAATGGGTTTTCATGAATATTCCCACTTCAGGCAATAGTCATTCTGTCTGATGGACAAACACATTACAGTTCTCCTCTAATAGCAGCATCTCACCAAAAGTGCGACCGTCATCCCGTTCAAACGGAACAGAGAGCTACGCCCACCCCATCTGCGAGATATGAAGTTTACCTTGCTATTATTCTAAGGAAATAAGTTATGCTAATATCGATCTGCGTCACTTGTGACTAAAGATGTGTTCATACTTTTAGGCGTTTAACAGCGTTTCGAGCGCACGGCAGCGTTCTGAGCTCAGAAGACCATAGGATCGAATAGCTTAGGAAAGCGTTTTGAGCGACCAACAGTACAGATATCGATGTAAGGTTTCGTGGGCAGTCGCTGAAAATCCTAGCGTATGCTCACGCTAGATCGATATCTGTAATTGTCTGGTCGCGTAAAACGCTGTCGCATGCTGAAAACGCTGAAGCAAAGTATGAACGCAGCCTAACGCTTTTTGCTGTTTTCTCTTGGCAGACGATTTCTTTGCTGAAGTACACTGTTAGTGAAAGTTCCAGACTAACATGGCGATTAATGAACGCTCACGCTACTTACTCATTTGCTTATTTTTATAAACACCGGCATTCCTTGTAATGCCTGACAGCTTTCCTGACAGAATTGTTCTGGCGTCGGCCTTCTTTTGGCGCTCTGGATTTACATTGAACCTGACGAACTTGAAGAGATTTGTGAAACATAACAAATAACTATTCAAAATGCTCTTGAATAGTCCAGGGTTGGAGCTCACTCTCATTGCTTCCAGGCCGCTCTCATAAGAACTAGATGAACTATCTGCGATTTGTTCAAAATATCATCCGATTAGATAACTGAGGGGGGGGAGGTGGGACTGGGATCATACTGACACCGCCATTTCACAGATTATGATGGTGTTCCCTGCACGGATTGCTGTTAATTCTTTGTTTCACTTTTTAGTTCCGTTGCACGGTGGGTCTACCTCACGTTGTAAATGTATTGCTATCGATAAAAGCCTCTTGAATCAGTTAAAGGATACACCCCAGAACATGTCCAAAATCAATCAACGAGAAACGCAGCAGTTTGAGTTTGGCTATTTTCAGAATCCCCATACCAGACCTGCAGCTTACTTGTCCTGGTCCCAAGCACATATCGCGTAGTTTAACTCTTTGTTTTCTGAAATGTTCGTTCTCGAATTGCTCAAGATTTTATTATGCTTCTTCTCTCAGTACTATTATTAAGTAAAATGCCTAATCAAGAGAAATTTGAATAGTGCAGATGGGATGGCGCTAAAATTGTAGCACTAGTAACTCGTCATCTGATAATTATACCTTTGTTAATGCTCGTTGATCATTTTCTATGTTCCAGATTGTACCATAAGTCGTTCACCTTGCCTCCCGTGAGAGGTGAAGGTTTCGCCTCAAAATGGGCGAAAAAGCCGATCGTACACTAACGCTTCTTCATCTGAGGAAAACGTTCAGCGAGTACATGCGGATACCTCTTTCTGGATCCAAGGATGTCGATCCAAATAGATTGCTACCTTTATTCACGAAGGTTCGTGGTTTTAAATTGTTTTTGAAATAATCTGCTGAAGCAGATCAGTTCTTTCAATACCACATATGATAATGTAGTGAAAAGTGGTACGTGCAACACAGCAGTGATTACTGCGGAAGAAGCTCGAATCTTCTAGGCTGCACGACATAAGCTTTTTATTCTCACCTCTACAACTGCTTACTTCGTTGCAAGTTCTTCACAGTTTTTGAGACTTATCCACTGCATACATAACCTGTCCATGATTCACAGCAATTTAACGTCAGTTAATGAAACTCACTTTTGCTGATCGCGCCATTTTCTTGGCACCACTTTTATGTTACGCCTTTCACCACATCGGTATAAATTCAGTAGTGTAGTTGCATGATGTCCTGCTTGCTAGATAAAATTCATCTTAGTGCCAGACTATTGCCGTCAATCATTTGGCGCTACGTTTCTTCTATCATTTTTGTGCTAGGAGTGATTATAGGTCCTGGTCACGAATTTGACATCCATTTTTGGTATGAATTGATACCGCCACGTCGAATAGTGACACCGTGGTGTCGCCAGCACCACCACCATGGTGTCACTGTGTGTTCAACCATATTCGACGTGGCGGTATCAAAATGGATGCCAGTTTCATAATCATGGCAAGAAACAAACAAGTCCTGGGCGATTTCTCGGTGTAGTTGTACCTGAGAAAAGTTATCGCCCCCAAATTGAGGTGCGAAAAAATTTACAGCATTTGTGGAACATTTGTGGAACACAAAAATTGATAATGAAATCTAGTCCAGTCATAGCAGTGTCACCCACCAGTGTAGAAAACAATAAATAAGGCCCAACAGTTGTCTCACTAATCTCGCCCTGCAGATCTGGCCAGACTTGTTTCCTCGTGAATTCTACGTCCATTCTCCAGCACTTTGCGCCCTCCCCTGGAATAAGTGGCAGTCGATTATCCTGTCACATATGAGTGACGTAACCTTCATGACGCTGTGTCTTAAAAACTCGGTTTGTTCAAGAGATGATGAATATGGGTTTATAAAGCAAATGGAGGTTACTCTTTATTAATTTCCCGAGTAACAAGTTTCTCAGGGGAATAACGAAGAGTGATAGTAAGAACGTTGTAAACTTATTGATCAGTCAAATAGGATAGCCACCACTTTCGGACGGCTTCCAGGATAAGGGTAAAGCGTAAAGTCTAGCGGTGAATCAATCCGTTTTTGGGGTGCCACACGCATTCTATTCCATAAAGAATCCTAGTGGCTTATTGAATGCTATGTGCCCAATACAATGACTTGCGGGGACCAGCCCATGTACAAGTCAGTGTTTTATCCTCCCTAGACGAGTCTGGTGCCAGTTTGGCGTCCCCGTGTAAGGCTTGTCCGAGGATCAAATCCTGGCGGGAGACGATGGATTTGATCCTCGGACAGCGCGCTTAGTAAGCTACGTACCACTAAACCAGCTCCGCCTCTCATTTGGGTAATTACATTAGCCAAATTAACAAAAACCCGCAACATATATAACTGTGCTGCTAATCTGTATGAGCAGGTTTACAAGCGTGACATGTGTTGTTAAATAGCATTTTGTAATACGAGGCCAACAGTATAATGAGCATTAACATTTCAGGTTATGGCGATGTTTACGCCAGCTGAGCTGAAGGTCGAATTTAAGGAGATTCTGAATTTTACTACATTCCTAAGCAGTGTATTAGTGAGAGAAATTAGGCAGAGGTATGCGTTTAGAAAGCTGCATGTCTGCTTTGAACGCAATAAGGAGTCTCTCTTTTTTCCAGAGCGTCTAGTCATGGTACAGTTGATGCGGCAGCGAGTATCGCTGAGTATCTCCAGCCGTCTTCTTCTCAGAAAGGGTGGCTGTTGCTGAACTCCATCTATTTCTTGATATCCACGTAAGTAACGTATGTCATCTTTTTTTACGTTCATGTAATTGCCTCTAAGCTTTTTTTCATTGATTGAGCACGTCATTGAAATTCGAGCATTCAAATGTTGCCTCTGGTGAAACACGTTGTGCCACTTATTCAGTTGTCGCACCAACTGGAACCATTCCAATGTTCCCGTTTTACATTCTATGAAAATACCAGAATGCTGCGATTTTCCATTACTGTATATTTTCAGGGCTTGATTGGTATGAGTCACAGCCTACATGCAGCAACGGTCCATTACTGTATCTTTTCAGGGCTTGATTAGTATGAGTCACAGCCAACATCATGGCTTTTATGCATTTGGGCATGCAGCAAAATGTGTTTCATAATAGGGTAGAGTCAATAGCTTCCACCGTTCATAAAGCGCTATGATCATGCGTGGATCTATTTGTTTATCTGAAAGTCGACATTACCTAAAAAATCATTTTTTAAAGGGAGGTCAGATTGGAGTAGGGAATTGGGCTCAGAAACGCAGAGCCACGTTCTCTAAGGAATCGGCATGATTGGGACTGAACAGTGTTGAACAAAAGAAAAACTGGTATTTCGGTGTGATTCTACTTCCGGTCAGAATCGCGTACAGTGCGATATGGCCGATAGGACCCTACCTATTGGAAGATCGTAAGAAAGAGTGAAGGTGGCTGAAAGATGTGATGAACGAGACATACCAGCAGAGAACTTAACGCACACAATAGTAGGAGAGGTTAAAGTCGTAAACTCTGCTCCTCTCAAAGCAATGGTCGGGAAATAGAAGCGGGCGAAAAATCCGAAATCTGTAGAAATCCGTCCACTGTAAGAGAAACGCGAACCGATGTGAGCGCAGCTCCTCACTAGCTCATCCTGCTTTGACTACAATGTTTCCAAACTGATAAGACGTGGTATGGTGGAATGGAGACAGCGAATTGGCGATTCCGACATGGGCCGTCGGCCGTCACCGGTATTCACGTTTCGGCATGAAAACTGTAAAAAGTGAAACAGTAAAGTCTGGATGTGCTAGTCAGCGTATCGTTGAAAGCGAGTCTGTGATCCACATGGAGGGATGGATTATTTGATGGTTTGTTTGAAATTTCATCTAGCTGGTAATCATGGAACCAGCGTGGGTTGGCAACGGTACCTGCTCCCCAGGCTCTCATATATTCTAGCGTTCGCTGCCTCGTCATTGTCAATGCCAATTAGTTCTCATTTTCAAGGATTTTTCTTAGTATCCTCTTTGTTTCCGAAAAGAAAACTACTTCACTGTAGCATCGCTGTCTATGGCGTTTTCGCATTACTTTCGTATTTATTTAAGAACCCCAAAGTTACATCGCTTCTTTCAATATCTATTCAACAATAATAATAAATGAATAGTTTTTGCCGTTGATCGATTTCCTTTAGGAGTGCGACACGCTTTCTAATTCCCTTCAGAATCGTAAAGGCTTATTGAATGCGACGTGGCCTCTACAACGATTTGCGGCATAATGTGCAACTCACACTGTTTTTGTCCTCCCAGCGAAACTGGTGCCTATTTGCCGTTTACAGAGAGTAGAAGGCTTAGTTGGCCTGGGCGGGAGCCGGTCCAAGGTTTGGCTTTCACAAATAGAAGCTCGTTTTCCATGCAAAAGTGGCGTTCTTAGTTCATCTTGAATGCAATTTGTCGGAGCCGTTGATATAAGCGAATTAGTTCTCACCCGGGCAAAAACACACGTCACAAATCTCCCCGACGCCGAAGAGGCGGCGACCCAAGGGAGAAAGTACAAGGCTTGGTTGGCCCTTACGGAGCCCCTTGTTACTGTACCACCTCTTATTGAAAATAGACATGGTAAAATGATAAAAACGTATAACTATGTATTTCAATGGTCAACTTTGTCAATGATAGTGCTTTGCAAGCAGCAGTTATTGTTCATAGCTATCGTTTTTAGAGACGATGAAGTCATCGTCAACTCGGTCTGCAAGGTGTCACTGCCTAGCACATTGGTGAAGACAATTTATCTATTTTTTGATCTCCCTGCCAATAATGAGTTGCACGAACCACGAACGAAGTTGAACGAGTTGCTGACATGCCTGCTGGATAGGCTTTGCTCGTTCAAGTAAGTGCATGCAGTTGTTTCTGGTTTGAATTTTTTAATAATGACTGTACTTTAATAAAATACGCATCGCTTTTGTATCGTTGTTAGAATAGACAGTCTTTGTAGGTACGTTAGTGAAGAGCTGGCCAAAAAGGACGATTTACTGTTGCTCTTTATTGGTGCGTCATCGTCTGTACCATCCGAGAACATAATATGGCGGAAGTCCACTGCACGCATCCTCGAGGCATTATCCGCTAAGGTAAGCCAAGATTAGCCAAGCTTATAATTTATGACATGATTGCTTCAATGATTTTATTGGATTCATCACCATTGTGCTGGGTTATGGGCAAAGATCTTAACTCCAGGCAGGAATCGAACTCTTCGAGCGCCGTGCTTTTCTGGCTAGTGCGCTTTTTGTTACGCCATTGAGGCCGATCTTACCCCCTCCTTATTAGAACTGTGTTTCGTTTGTTGAAATCCAAAAATTTTATCGCGAACGGAATATCCTCCCGGCTCTAATATCTTTCCTTGAACATTCATCGACTAATAGTTCCAAAGGAAATTGTATTATGGGAATTTTGAGATGCGTAAACAAGAATTCCTTCCATGATTCCTTGCGATGGCAACTGGATGATCGGACATGTCCAACGTGCACGGGAGTGCTTCTAGGTAGCGACAAGTAGCGAAACGCTCATCATTCTGGAAAAGTACTTGCAATGCATTAGCGTTCTGACTATTAGGGCTACTATTGTGGCAAATATACTTCGGCAAACTGATGAGCGTGTTCTGGAGATATTCTAGGGATCACTGAATATTTTCAAGTGCATGGTAGGAAAGAATAAAATATCACTAATAGTTTTCTTAACTTGTTTTTTGCTGCTCTACAGTTCTTTGCAGCTTGGCAGCAGTATTGATTTGACCCATAGGTAATGGTGTTGTTTATCACATAAATTTTAAATGAAAAGTAAGTTTTGTTCCCAATGTGTTCCACGCTATTCGACAGACAATTTTCTGCACTATAAGTGGGTATGATTGCCTTCCTACTGTTTCTTGAAATTTTGTCGATTTTTGGTTCATCGGAAGGGAGTGTAGGCTCGACACAAACGTATTAGGTTGGCGGGAAAGTTCTGTCACATTTTTAAACTCAAAATACTTGTCTATTACCTAAAGAGGGGTGAACGGTAATGTGAGCACTTGTACATCAACTATTATTAGGCTGGGGGAAAGTTCTGTCATACTTTTTTGAACCCAAGTATTCACCTATTACCTGAAGAAGGCTAACCGGTAATGTGAGCATTTATACATTAAGGATTGGTCTTTCTATTAGTGTCAATGGCTCGGCTCCTGCTCATCTTTATTCTGCATTATGGACAAAATGTTATCAGCTACCTTCAGCACCGACCCCTTCAAGCGCTTCCTTAAACTATTTCTTCTACCATTCTGGCGCCACCATAGCTGTCGACGCCGAAATAATGGAGCTGCACGAGGACAATGTCTACAGTCATCAGACCATCTTCCACGAGCTAGCTCTTCAGAGCGGGAACCTACGGTTCGAATGACGATGTGTTCGGGAGTACCCGTAAACTCAGCTCTAGATAGCGCTGGGTCGGGAAACTACTGGATGGAGAAGCTGCCTCCTCGGTCAATCCGTACGCAAGGCAGCTACGAGATTTGAAGCGAATCGTCAAGCAGAGGGCAAAATCCATCGGCACAGTCCGTCTTCAATGTGCTGGTGCAGCACACCCCGTCAAAAAAAGTTCGAGCCATACTTCATGCAGTAGAGCTGGATGGCTCTCCTCTTGCACCGGTGCAGTCCAGACATTGCTCTTTCTGACTGCTAGTCGCCTCCCGTATTCAACCGTTATACAGCCGAGAAAACCTCCACGACTTGAGCCCAAGTCAAAGTTGAGATGATGTCCAACTTTGCGTTGCGTCGGCGTGCATTGTTAAGCAATGGCACGAGAAACTGCGAGAAAATTCGAAAAGTCTGAGTTCAAGCCAAGATTGAGATGATGTTCAACTTTGTATCGCGCCTCCCTGCATTGTGAAGCAATGGCATCCGTGAGGTGCTCAAAACAGGCAAGGACCTCGCAGTAACATTGCTGAACAATTTTGATCTTACACGGCTCTCAATAGAAAGAAAGCCAGTTTGAAAAAGTGACAGAACTTTCCGCAAACTAATAATACAATGAATCTGCGCCGATTATGGAACTGCGAAGCCGCGCCGAACTGGTGGGTAATGTTGTCACGGAATGTGCTTTTAAAAAGCAGTTGACACGATAAATCCTCCAAGACAGGCAGAACTAATACCCCTGGCAGGATGGAATCCGCGACCCTGAGCAGGCGCTGCATAATGCCTTTTCCAGGGAAGGTGCCCTTATAAGGGCGCGGTCAAGCCAGCAACTTTAAGTCCCAACGCCCCTTGCGGCTGCCGCCACAAGTAGACAACTGTTCCAGACGCTTCTAACTGATTCATTTGCAACAAAATTATGAGCGAAGACATTGGTATGAAGCAGGTCGTGATGCTGCGCATATGAGTATACATATGCAGCCGTACCTTCGTAGCGCTTATGAGTAAGATGGCCTTCGGTAACTCGTCCAAAATTGATTACTAACATAGTGGGAACGAGTCTCTTTCTTCGGCAGGATTTTGACGCCTTTCACGTCCGTTCTTTGCCATCTCCCTACTATAAAGGGGGGGGCAAAAAAAAGTTGCTTCATTGATTTCCGCAGGCGCTATAAGTTACACTTTATATAATCTGATCGGACATTTCTACTACCATATTAAAGAGGCATATTAAATACTTTTTTAAATTAATGACCTCCCGGCCACAGCCTTCTGGAGCGAGCGCCATCGAGAGATTCTGGCACGCACCGCGATGTGGCGCTGAGATCCAGCGAGATTGGTCGATTTCTCCGCCACAGTAGACCCTATTGAACTCCGCTGCGAACCGGGTATACTTGAAGGGGTTTAGGTCAGGGTAACCTACTTAGATATTCCATCTTCTTTAGGTACTGAGCCCCTTCCAATTCCAGGTAGGCGAGAGTTTCTCCAACGCCCTTCGATTCCAACGTGGTGGCAATCCCAATGCTGTAGCAGTACAGTGTAAAGTTTTCAAGAGGGATACGGGCGACGACATGTGGGGAGGATATTCTACTCGAGTTGCTCGATGTAATCGCCAGCGCTCAGCTTCAGCGCGGGGTCCACGAAGAAAATATTGGTCTTTCCATTCCAGGTGCGTGTGGTCCATACCATCAACCCGCGCCTTGGCGACTGCCGTGAAGATGATGTCCTGGACCTAGCGACGTTGTCGGAGCTGCTCGATGTTGAAGGTCTTCCAGATTGAGAGTACTGATCTCCAGCTACCCATGGGTGACTCCACACTAGAAGTTTCGCAGCTGTCTGGAGGTGACATGAATTCCAAAGGTCTTCTCCAGTCAGGCTGCGTCTGGAGATGACCTCATATTTTAGTGTACATGAAGGTGATGGGCGAGGGCCTGCTCCTGCTTATAGAGGAACATCTTGGGTATCTTCCTCCCTGGTACTCGTATCCACGTCTTCTCTCTGAGCTGCGAAAAGTTTGCTGATATGTGACTCGGTATGACTTTTTTTGGCCACCCCTGTATAGCGCCGTACTAGCATTTGGCCGAGTACCCGATCATCGTGCCAGCTGCCTCTAAAAACGGTTTAAAGTTGGTTCAAGCGATTAGTACATGGGAGTTCGAGCCTTGTAAATGTGCATCGCATGCCCGCTCTCCTAGGATCGTCTGCCTGCAGAAACAATCCACCAAATCACAAACCTTCCAAGTGAAGGTGACTCTCAATTAGAACGTGGTAACCTTCCACGACATCTGTCACTTCCCCGTTCTTTGGTATGAATCTACGTGAACAAGGGGATTCAGTAAGCTGGAGTAGGGCAATAGCTTCGATGCTTCTCCATGGAGTCGATGATGAAATTTTCGAACGGCTTAAACCGCGAAAAGCGTTTTTAAGAGACAAAGCCTCTTGGTCATATATTAGGGTGGTGCATAAGTTCTTTTCCCCGGCTTTCTTGTAAATATCTCAATAGCGAACCAGCCTGAAGGAGGTATGCACCATCACCATCAACTACTCGGCGACAACGATCAGCTTGTCGATTCCATCGTCCCAGAGGGCGGGTGCTGGGACCCGAAGAAGGTCACAGTGCTGCACAAGGCTGGGACCCGAAGAAGGCCACAGTGCTGCACAATCACCACTGTGACATGGTTTTGCATTCGTAATTGTGCGGCATTGTAGCCTCCTAATGCAGGATGGGTGACTGATAGCTAGTGTGGTGAATGAGTATGTACATGTCACGCACACGTAATGACGAAATACCAACCTCTATGCAAACGAAATACGGAAGGATCAAAAGAGGGGGGGGGGGCAAAAACTTGTGCACCAACCTAATAATTAAAGGTAGGCCTGTGCTGTTTCAGCTTTTTGTTGAGATGTAAAGAACTAGACTGTCAAAAATGCTCAATTTCGTCAACCTGACACTCCAATTTGAGCATTTCATAATTAGTAAACAAAATCTTCAAAAACACTAGAAAGACTATCTTATCGGGCAAGAAATTCCCTGACTAGCAGTATGAGGCTCCTTAGCAAGATTTTCCATCTAGAGCATCGAGTGAGAAAAACGTCATTACTCACGAGCCAACCCAGTAGTTTATCGATTACGTTTTAGAATAAAGAACTGCTTATTCTTTTGTGACCGTGATATATTTCTTATTGATTTGTGAACCGTTGCAGAGCCTCACTCCAACTGTGATCAAGTACATCTCTACAAAGGAATGCATGCGCACCTATATAACAAACATAAAATCTCCGAAGCTTCAACCGCAGGTGACGTTTGAAATATTGGCGAAAGTAATTTAGTTTATATTTTCTCATCGCAGGGAACTATGAGAATTGACAGCTCTCGCCTCACTCAATCACTTTAAATGTGTAACTATCGCTTTAGGAAACCGCAGAAATGATTATATGTCTATTATGTGTTCTGAAAGATTCGGCAAGGCAAACTAACCAACTGGTGGAAAACTTCAGTCAATCGAATGGCTACCTAGCTATCAAGGATTTCATACTGAAGTACTGTTCTTTCAAACGATTGTTTTTTATTGGTATGGGAAATTCCACAATCTTTTTACCACATTCTTCGGAGGCCTTTCTTTGGTTTCCCTTTTTTAGTTCTCTCTACTGTCCTCTCCCCTGCTGCCTTTGATATTTACCGAGCTCGCCAGGATAGTGGAGATCACTCATTTTCGCTCTCTCCGCTCCTTAATATTGTGCTGTCCCAGAGCCTTATGAGAATTTTTAGTTGTAGATAACAAAATAGGCTCCCAAAGCAATTGTTTTACAAGAACCAAAAAGTCCCGAAAGCAGCCTAAAGCCTCTGATTTGTTTTCGGCTATTTCGACGCTTGAAACCTTTGAAAACCCAGTTGCTAGGTCGGCTCAACGTCTACTCAAGCCCACCTTTCAGGTGGCTGAGGCAGGTGCCAAGCATTGAAATATTCGAAGACAAACCAGGGATTTGATATTTTTGAGTTCCTAAATAATCCTTTTGGGGCCTATTTGTCTTATTGGCCATTTCTGTTTCTTGTTGGTTTAGTATCACTGTTTTCAAGCATGGATTGTAATTTGCACATGTAGGAAAATTGATGATTGATCGACATCTTTCTACGGGGCAGATTTGGCTGAAAGTTGCGTTTTAGGGGTAATTCGATCTGCTGAACACGATTATCACATCCGCTTGGCCTTAAACCGCTTGGCGCCGGCGCCAAAGCCCCAAAATCACCAAACCTGCTGAAAACTTGTCCCCAGGGGTAGTTTGACCTCCTGCGCACGAACAGCACATCCCTTCGGCTTGAAACCGCCTGGTGCCGGCGCCAAGGTAACTTGGAACACCAGTTTTGGCGCTGGCGCCAAATGGCGCCAGTTTGGTGCCATTTGGCAGTTTGGCGAAAACCGATGCATTATCCATGATCAGGACAACGATTAATGCAACTTTACATCGAATTTGGTGAAAAATGTGGTGGTAGCGCTAATTTGGCCCCAGCGCCGAAACAGTGCTATATTCGTGTTCAGGACACCGAACTACCCCTGTGGGCAAAGTTTCAGCAAAAAAATTTTTTTGACTTTTTGGGGTAGTGATAGTTGAATAGTGCCGGCTAGTTTTATTCCAAAACACCTCCCCTTGTCATACATCTGTTACAGTTTTCTTAGATTTATTTTTCATTCTGTACAAACCAACACCTTCTTCGCTAGATCTCTGAGACATTTTGTGTTGGTGATGCCACAATCTTTAACAAAAGCCCTGTTGTTGTTGCTGTCCTTATGTCCGCCTCAAACAATGCACTGATCATTTTCAGGAACGAAAATAACGAAGAAATCGTTCGAAATATTCTTCTCATGCTAATATCTGTCATAACAAATGGACCGCAAGAAATCAAACCTCAGGCAGGTCTTATCCCTTTTTGATGCTCTATCCTGAATGCAGTGTTGTCTTTGTTATGACAAAAGTGCTGAGTTATGGTTATATTGATTATCTTGGATTTTATTTAGCATTCATCGGGACTTGTGCAACTTCCGGCGTTTCGTTTACCGAATCCTTCTGGTAACGGGCTTTCCGTACGCAATATCCAGGCATTTGGTCTCGTTCATAAAATATTCTTAGAGGTACGATTTTCTGTATATTTCCACACATTTCTATTTATTTTATTCCCATACGCTGAAGAGTCAATTTTAATTTGTCTTGCTGTTCTATCGTTTGTGGTTTTCATCACGCATCTTGGTTTGTTTATTGAACTCGTATTTATCCATTTTCATTTATCTAATACTTACTACTTTATCCTCCATCAGTATCTAGTTGACCTTTCTGTTAGTTTTTGCAAGTTTGGCTGGCGCACTCTGTCGCGTGCATCACACGGCTACGACGAGCTTTACAAAGCCCACTGTCGAGATCATATCTTCATATCTTATCAAGATGTATTGATGTGCCCCCCTCCCCACTGCTCGATATAATAGCAGTATATGTATACCAGTCGGCTCGCCTCCTTCTGATACGGCCCGACTGCGCCGGGCGAGCGCGGCCTCGCCGCGCGTATTTTCTTTCACATATTTCTAGACTCAAATGATATCCGCCCTTTGTTCCGTACTCCACTTTTTTCCCGGTGTCTGAAGTACTCTTGAGCTATTTTACAGATTCTTCGTCTGACTCCGCCCACCTCGGAGCAGGCTCCGCCCACAATGTTTTTGCCTCAAAATCCTCACCGGCGACCCTCTGCCCTCTGCTGACCTTGGTTCACTTTTTTTTCCGTGTCAGGAGTGTTCTGGGACCGTTTTGCAGATCTTTTTCTGACTCCGCCCACTTCGGAGCAGGCCCGCCCCAATTTTTGTGCCCATAATCCTCAACGGCGACCCTGTGCTAGCCTTAATCCACGCTTTTTCCGGTCTTTGAAGTCGCTCTGGGACAGTTTTAGAGAATTTTCGTCTAGCTCCGCCCACCCGCGGCTGGCCCCGCCACAATATGTTCACCCTACATTTCTCAATCGGCGACCCCTTGCTGACCTGAATTCACTTTATTCCGATCTTCGGAGTGCTCTGAAGTCGTTTTTACAGACCTTTTTGTCTGCTCCGCCCACTCGGAGCAGGCTCCGCCCACAATGTTTTGCCCTCAAAATCCTCACCGGCGACCCTCTGCTGACCTTAGTCTACTTTTTTTTCGGTGTCCGGAGTGTTCTGGAGTCGTTTTACAGACCTTTTTGTCTGGCTTCCGCCCACCTCGGAGCAGGCTCGCCCACAATGTTCTTTGCCCCACAGCCCTCACCGGCGACCTCTGCTGACATTTGTTCACATTTTTTCCGGTGTCTGGAGTGTTCTGGAACCGAGCTACAACTTTTAAGATGAATACCCTGCGATTTAGGGCAAGCTCCGCACCCTGTGTTCGGGTCTCAACACACTTTGAGCGTGCCCTATATCGCCAGATATTTACATTCTACAGTGAGTCTTTGCGACGTTCCAAACACTCTCGGCGATCGGGTTACTGAATTTGCGAGAAACCGCCCACCTTGAGTACGCCCCGCCCATTTTGGATGTGTCTGCCACGTTAGTCTGGCGACTCCTTACTAATCTTGTTCTCTTTTTTCCCCATCTTTAAGCTGCTCCGGAACCGAATTATGAACATTTTCTGCGGACCCAACTTTCAGCGAGTGCCTCGCCACTGTGGGCGGGGCTTCCCATAGGTCAGTGTCTTTATTTCTTCTCCGCATGCTACCCATCCCCCCTTGACCCGACCTCTCCAAGTCGTTCTTCAAGCGAGACACCGAATTCCGGACAGACAAACTCACAACAAACAAACAAACAAACAGACAGAGCAAATTATATATACGGGGGGTACTATCACCTGTCATTACTTCCCACCACGTCACCAGTTCCTCAAAGCTAAAATGATTCGATAGAGAGCTTTACAACGTAAGAGACCGGCGACTGCGGTGAGGCGCCTTATCAGTTCCTATCATCCTATCAGGCGTTATCGCTTTTCTCTATATCACTTGCTGGAAGCAACACCTCATTGCGGCAGCCATGCCTGCTACAACGCTAGGGACCCTCGCTCTGTAGTGCACCTTTACAGATTTTATAAGCCGTTCTCAGCTACTCTCATCCACCTTCCTGTATATATCTATACCATATCGTGAAGCAGACGTCCCGCTGTTGCCGGGGCAGTTGTTTTGAAATTCTTTCACCAACCAATGAGGTTCGTGTCCCACCCTCTATAACACTTCTTGGAACCAACTTTCCACTGTCACTGTGACTTGCTCTATGAGTTTCGTGATGAACGGACAGACGGAATGACGGACGGACGGACGAACAGATGAACGGACAGACAGACAGACGGACGGACGACAGACAGACACAGACAGACAGACAGACAGACAGACAGACTACATGCTCAGCGGATTGTGTATATAGGATAGCAGGAGTGCTAAGGCAGCGTTCAGACTTGCAGCGCTGCACTGTCGCGCTACACTGTCGCGCTACACTATCGTGCTACAAGTGAACTTGACATCTCACATAATGAGTTGAAGAGTTTTGACCAGATCGAGTGCAAAATAATCCTTTCCCTGGCGCAATGATAATCCAATCGTTGAAATTTGCCTAGCAGCGGATTTCCAAACAGTTGACCTGAAGAGCCCAGGGGCATCACTTGTTTTTTTTGTTACAATCCGGGAACTGCCTCCTTGTTGCGAAAAGGGTAGGGAGATATCGGAGAGATGTTATGTTCTTTCTTTCGGTATTCAATCCCTTTTACTTTGTTTCTCATTTCTATATGATTCTTAGCTCCTCTTTTTCACTTTGACATTGAAATCAAGCAGAACAGTACATTGAAGAAAACGAAAACAATTTCGTAATCAGGATCAATTAATGCACCGATGCATGACATAATACATCATTAGGAACCCTGCGACTGAATACTTGAAGTCGAGAACGGTGTACAAAATCATTATTACAGTGTCTTGAATCAAAAACTATGTTAAGATTCAAGTAAAGTGAAAAAGATGTGCTAAGAACCAAGTAGGACTAAGAAACGACGAAAAGGGATTGAACAAAGGAAGGAAGAACATAAAGAGAAGCAGGGGTTCGGTGCTATGTAGTGCGGCAATTGTAGCGCTACAGTTGTAGCGCGACAGTGTAGTGCTACACGTCTGAACGCTGCCTAAGGTATGGTCCCCAGGCGGCAGGGATCGACTCCCTCTGTGACCTGAATGGTTCTGAGACCCATCGAGCCGAGAGCGGAAAGTGACTGTGGTGGTGGTTCTACCATGGTTTGTTTGTTTTCTATGGCTATTGGACGTGTATGCACCCAAATTTCCATTTTTATGATCATCACACTCCCGTTTTCTATTAATTGCAGCCAAATAGATCACCACTCAGATGTTCGACACATAGAGGATCTAAATTCAATCAACTATTCTTAATTTCTAGAGCCAGAATCCTACGATATGCGCCATGACTATCGATATTGTCCATTCCATATACACGTGCGACCCCGCCAACTATTTCATACTCGATAGAGAATATCCACTCGCCTTGTTCATAGAACAGCTGGACAGAAAAGATGAAGTAGTGAGAGTGAGTCAGAGAACATTCCTTCCCAGTTATGCTGAGTTTTTCTAAACTTGTTAATCAAAGTGCAATTCAGGCTAAAATATTTGAACTTGTGGAGCATTGTGTGTTTCATCTCAACTACATCCCGTGCAAGGAGTTAATAGGAATCTGTGTTCAAATGAAGACGGAATTGGCTGCTGGCCAACAGAATATTTGCATCTCTGGAGTTCAAGCTGCATTTCGCCTGCTCACTATCGACTCCGTCATTAAGGTTGCTCTTCTTTTCTGTGCAAGCTGGTGATGATTTTCTTCATCCAGTGCAGTCAGCCCGACCCATTATTTAAGGTTGTCTTGCGTTTCCTAGAAAATGAAATTTTCCTTTTGACGTGGGATTTGCTTTTGCAAAAATCCACTGTTCAAACAAGTTTTTGAGGAATAGGGGGCCACGTTTTTGAGGGGTCCTGCACTTTGGCATGAACTCGTGCGGCATGTAATGTGGTGGACTTGATCTTGTTTTGTTTTGTTCTGGATACACACCACATGTTGTTTGGCGAAAGTACTGTGGTATCACAGTCAGCACTCTATGCTCTTTTTAGGATGCATTTCGTGAGGTTGGACTCCTAGACACTCTCTGCTATATAACCAACAATCTGTTCGCGCAGTATAAACGTAAGAATATATTACATTTTTGCTAGAGTCTTGCACGGGTTTCTCGCGTTTACTTTTCGATGTTCATTTTTGTTCAGAGCGGAACCTCACTGACAACGAGAATAAGCTAGCACTGTTGTCTACCGATCTTCTAACTGTGATTATAAAAGGGAACTTGGAGAATGCTCGTAAGTGAAATCATAAGGCCAGTTTATATGAACCAGCTACGTAATGTTTTTCGTAGGAATGTTTTCCGATTGCTTCGGGGCTCGTACGTTGCTCAGTTTACTTACCGTAGTGACCGGAGAGTGGCGAAGTAGTAGCTTACAGCTACTAAAACAACTACTTCTGCTAGCTTCTACTGATCAGTACATTGCCGGAGTAATCCAGGTGAGGAGTAGAAAATAGATTTACCCTTATTTTTTCATGTTTCTATTTTCTTTTCAGGTCATCAGTCAAGTTGGGCCACAGCAGCAACTGGAATTTAATGTGGATCTTTTGAAGGTGAGTCAGATAAAGCAATATTTCTTTTTTGGTTCTGCTTTATACAATTCCATATTTATGAAGACTGTGCTGGGTGTTCTTCGCGAAAGTCACAAGGTGCGGGTGCAGTTTCGGAAAACCGGCGGTTATCTTGGTCTCATCTCAATGCTTCTCGGTTTAGAAGGAGCTTTCTCGAAAATGGAATGTGTCAAAGGTTTTTTCTTTCTCGTTTATGATTCATCAATCCACCACGTTTTCCATTACATTCTGTAGGCTTTGTTAATCATTTGTTAACTATTCTTCCTTTTGGTTTTTTTTGTTTGAAATTCATAGGAGATGCGCCCCTATACAGTAACGGAAAAAACTTGGAACTAGCCTTGAAAGGGCATTTTCACCCGTTTTGACTTATTTATTCTCTTCTCAGACACCAATATCAGGTTCAGTAGCAAAGAATTTAATGTAACAAATCAATAATATCAATATTTTGGTGATGCGCAGGTGTGTAGAAGCAAGTGCTGCCATACCACGCGCATCAAATCCCCAGAAAGGTTGCAGCCAAAGCTAACCAAGCATCCCATGCTTGTGGGGAAGGTTAATTAGTACTAGATTCGTCTGGGGGATAAACATCGACTTTGACATTGGCTCCCCCCCCCTCCCCGCTAGCAATTCATTGCATGGGCCAGTCCATATCCAAAAGCCACTACGGCTAACCGGACTGGACTGCGTGCAGCATCCTGAAAAGTGATTCATCGACAATGAAAACTTTATTTTCCGAGCTTTGCTTCGTACAGTTTCACCATCCCCCCTCCGTGGTGAAATGTTCTTCGCCGTACAGGGCGACATGGTCGGCTGTCATGTGTTAGTCCCACTCAGTTCATCGATAGGAATCAAATCTGTCTAGGCGTTTGCACTTTTTTTTACAACTCCTCGAGTCCTGTGTACTGTAGTTTCCAAAGCCTCGGAGACTATCAATGAAGCATATGGATCCAATATCGAAGTGGTGGCGGCGTGCGCAATATTCTACAAAATTCGTCCTGACAACGACTTCAATGAACCACCTCTTTTTCCTGCCATGGCTTATCTTGGGCGTCCTTGATTCAGTCGAGCAAGTTTTCATGTGTTTTTCAATTTGAAAATTGTAGGGAAAACTATCAAAAAGCTCGGGACAAGGGCTTGTTCCGTTTCTTTTTCGTCACTCTAGGTGATAGCACTTCGGAAATCTCTTAGCAACGATGTCATTACTTCTTGCTTTGGTCAGTCATCGAATTCAGGCTTAGTACCCACTGAAGCTGTGGAGTTGCTTGACTTCATACACTTGATATTCAAAGTGCTGACAATAAGTATGAGGTTCGAGCCGTCAAACGCTAAGTATTTCTCTGTTGAGGTATAGTTTTGCGATGTTGTATACCTTTGCAAGAATGCTTACATTTTGTCTCCTACTTCAGGTCAGTTGGGACAGCATCACGACTGTACTTCGATTAATGGGTGCATTCAGCGACAATACTGTTGTGAATGTAGCAGAGCCCGAATGGAGACTGCAGGTTGTTTAGTTTGTTTCTGTGATTTTAAGGAAAAAATGTCTTTTCTTACTCTGATGATAAAGTTTTTCTTCAAAGTAAAATCTGTCTTCTCAGGGTTCTGAGCTGAAGAACGAACTGGCTGCGTGTCATGCGGTATTCAAAATGGACGAAGACATACAGTCAGGGTATTTTGGTTTAATGCACTGTCCTGCACTTTAATTGTTGAGCTAGAAATTTCTTTTGAGACATTGTTTGAGCTGCTATGTACAACAGGTCAATCCCTGCCGGCATGCCACCGTCGATCTTTTTTGCTTGTTACATCATTCGGCTTCTCTTCAACATGGCCCTGGATAACTACGAAAAGTATGTTCCCACGCTCATTCTGGATGACAGATTTCCGAATTCCATTGAGAATTCCAAAGCTGAGAAGTCTTTCGTTTGCAGGATGTCTTCCGATGTAACATGGACATCATCAGAGGGTTCATTGGAAGATTGCATCGTCTCTTGGACTTCTTCCGTTCTGGTTTGTGCTTCTTAGCGACTTCACCTCGAATACTTCTTCTTAATACCTTTTTAGGTGCACCCGGGTGCTGTTCAATCGATTCTTTCACTTTTGCCGTCAATACATTCGGAGAACGTCAAATGGCTGGTCGGTGCTCAGTATTATAGTGGGCTACTGTTGAAGGCGCTTTTGAAACCAGAGAGAAATCAGCAGCTAATGTGCCAAGTAAGCGTAATACTCAGAGAAAAGGGAAGTATTGGAAAGAACTGACGTCCAGGTGGACATGCCTCGTCATCTGCTATCAATCGCTTCGAAACTATTCTTGTGTGAAGACCATATACTATTACATCCATTCTACTATGTGCTCGAACGTTTGTCATATCAGGCCATGCAGCCGAGTCAGCTGAGGTGAGTCACTCTTAGCAAGGCTTGCCTTTTTGTGGTGGTAGTCCAAACCGTGTGGCTTTCGTCGGCGGGTGCTTGACATGAGGTAATAATGTGTTACTTACATGGGACTCCGTCTCGGCGAGAGTTCTACCTTTGAATGAAAGTTATTTCGTGTTCCATAACGATACTGCTATATTTCCGTCCTTTTGCGGTTCATTCCGAGCAGGCCTATTTTCTAAGTTACCAGTATGATTTATGCGACTGAAGTAAGATGTTATGTCATGCCAGCCGTCGTTACAGCTGTCAAGGTGCATATAACTAATTCAACGTTGCGACGAGGGCGTTGCAAAAGGGGAGTCACTAGCGCAGCAAGAGCAGGTTTCAACGTAGCGCTGCGTTGTGTACAAAACAACTGGCTAGGGTTTGCTGTACTAGTTTGCGCGTCCCACCGCAACTGCACCGAGGAATACTAATCATGTATAATACCTTCTATATAAGAACTACACAAGTAACTTCCATATATTATACTGACTAATATCCAGTCGCTTATTTTTCCTAGTTCTCTAAAAACACTGGTAACGAAAGGCGATGAGCGGTCTGGAGCAGCCCCTAAGGTACAAACCTTTGTACTTGAAGGCGAATCTTGTCCGAGCGTTGAGTCCTTAATAAGGAGTTTCCTCTTGTCACATCGTTGGCGTAGATTACAAGTACTGTAACACATTTTCGTTGTTGAAGCTTGCTGGCAAGAAATTGGAAACTTGAGTTGTGCTCAAAAAAAGGGAGACTTTTGGGACAGCCGATTAGGACGTTGTAAATAGAAGTTTGGTGATTCTTTGTACCAACAGTACATCTTAGTTCATCTTGCTTTTGTGCCACAGTTTTCAGCTTATGTGCGATATTGAGACTGCATATTTCAGAAATTTCTTACGCCTCGATCTGCCCCTTTGTTGTCGTAACCTAGATGAAACCAACGGTGATGAACCTCCAAGGGCAAACGAAGGAGGTCCAGTGCCATTGCAAAGGTTAGTTGCAGTTTGAGTCTTGGTATATATACTGGTAATTGGTATATGTACTGGTAATCCAGTATAGAATACAGATCGGAAATTATCATGATTTTATGGCAGCTGCAACTGTGTACTTGTAAATATTAACAATGAAAGAAAATAAATGAAACTTTCTGGGTTTGGGTTGGAACCTGTAGTCAAGCTACGGCGGGTGAGCTGGATGCTTTAGGTTTCATACTCGTGTCTCGTAATCTATTATCATCTTATCTGTTCTGTACGTCAGTTACAGACTTGCCAGAAAATGTATATGCACTTGAGGCAATCTCTATAGATCATTTCCGCTGCAGGTTGCTTCTGGGAAGCCAGCAAAAGGGTGAACGTTAGGTTTTATGGTTCGAATCCTCTGGGTGACGCAGCTTGCATTTCCACATTTTTTGTTTTTTTGTGCTCATATAAGTCGCAACCTTTTGCGTGAACAAAAAACAGGTCCACATGTTACGAGTCTTTCGTCGAAAAACAGGACAGCTTCCATCGCCGAATTCGTCATGAACTTGAAGGTCATTGTTTTGTTGCTTCTTGGCGCATCCAGAAGCGCGAAGCAAAAGTGAACTACATTTCTGTGGTCTCCGCATGAACCTCTAGAACATGCAACAAGCCATTTCTTAAATGGGCTCCATGACTTCCCTTTGTTGGAACTCATTTTTCTTTTCTTCTTGTTTTTCTTTCTTTATTCAGTTTTATACTGGTCCTTATGATTCCCTTTAGGGTAAAAGCATTGGTGTCTATGATGACTCCACGCGATCAACGTCTCTCACACGCACCTTCCTTCGTTGAAACCGATCTAGCTATGGAAGGATTTGGTTGTCTGTTCATACCATCGCTGGCTCCCCTCTTCTCGTCCAGTCGATCTGAAAGAGTATTCCCACCTTTGAATGGAATTTCATTATCAACGTGAGAGGTGTTCATGTATTCAGATACTATGTTGATGTTAAATGCAAATTCTTAGGTGGTTGTACATTGATGCGTTCTCGGATAAGAAGGTGGATGCTCACCCGCTCAGGTTGTTGACCATTACGCGGACCGTAACGTGGCAGGACGACCGACGGAAGCAGGTGAATAATGTGTATGAACTATGTCCAAATCCTGACTTAGATCCATTTCAATTCTCTTCTGAAGCATTTCATATTCCAGGGACCTTGTCAACTGGCTTGCTTAACGATTCAGTTCAGCCCGATCGATAGAAGTTTACTCATTTCTACAGATGAGCATGAGAATCCAGGTGGCGATCTGGAGAAGGAAGCGAAAATCCCGTCAGAAAAGGTGAGATAGAGGTAACTGTAACAGGATAACTATTATTGATTCCGCACACATTCTGCAATGGCCTCAGTGTTAATTGTTGCCGTGAAAATTGGAAGTGAAGGCTCTGAAGTTTCCGAGGAAGTGAAAAGGCCAACGAAGCGGTAAAGAATCTCTCTGGTTATTCGGGGTAAAAACTCATAGTGGAAACTCATTGTCCACATAATTTTCCTTTTCCATTCTTTATTTTGATCGAACCAGCTGTCATTTAACGTGCATCTGTCATGGCATGCACTGTATGTGTACAGCCACGTCTTCATGGTTGCCGGATTGATGGCCTATCACATTTTTTCGATTCCCTAGTTGTGTGTTCTTCTGAATAGCGAATGATCGTATGAGCACGTAATGAGGTGGCCTGAGAACGTAGTGATGGCGGTGGATTTCAAAGTATAAGGCAAGGGACCGCGAGGTGCCCAACAGAAAAGATGAAGGAAAGTCATAAAGGAGGATCTCGCTGGAGTGAGTGCCCGGGAGAAGATGCATGGATTGAGCAAGTGGCGGCGCCTAACAAGAGCAGGGACCCTGCGACGGCGAGGGGCTAACGCTAGGGACGAGAAAAGGAATTGCTGTGGTTTTTTGTCAGTTTTCTCGGAATTCATATTCACTCTTTCGCCAGGTATTGCCGAGCACAACCGTCAAACCCAACTAAAAAGCAAAGATGAAGAGATGAAAGGTTGAGGGTATACGTTCACCTAGAGGAGTCACCGTGACTCAGCAACACTGCCCTAGCCGCGATACTCCAGTTTCATTGTCTTTGTTTGGGTGCTACCTTGATCTCGTTGTCGTACAGGGCAATGCTGCCGTCTTAAGTCACAGTTATCGAATATGTGCATTATGTGAGGGTTTGTGCAGGTGAATAATTAGTGAAGGTCTGTGAGCTAGCCGAGTAAATGGCAAATTTCCTGAGTGTTTTCAGCCAGTTTGTGACTGAATTAATGCGAAACGAGAATGTATTGGTAAATTTTTAGACCATACGAGTTACGTTAGCTGATATTGTTCGACCGCTGGAATGGACTCACATCTGCGTTGTGCTCTCGCGTTCGGTGCTGAAACCCAGTCAGGTAAGTCCGTTTGACTTATAAGGGTCTAAATTTCTTTCTTGTGATCGTCAAGATGAAGACTGGTGATTAAGTCTGAATATTATTTTATCCACATGAGAACCATCAGTGTGCAATTTTATAGCAGTATCCGTGTGCGACGTGGACGGATTTTTGCATGTTTCTCTGCCTATAAGTTTGTTAGTTTCTGAGCTTGCTACCGAGATTCTCAAATGTCTTTATTCGACTGACGTTTCGACGTTGTCGCCTTCTTCAGGGCCTGGAAGTCGTAATACATTAGGAAAACATTCAAACACTATTTAAGCTCATAGGAAAATTCGAAAACGTTCGTGAACAATTAGCACGACGCCACTTGGGCTCGGTAATAACTCAACTACTTGGGGTTACAGTTAAACCTCTCTGGTCGACTTTACCAAAGGTCACATTTCAAAGCTCATATGACGTCGTCTTAGTAGTTGGCGAGCCCTTTTTAATTCTCCTGTAAGTTGAAATAGTGTTTGAATGAAGAGTTT